ACCTGCGGGGCAAGAGAGGGGAATTGTCGGACTGGCTAAATGATTTTAGAAGTAAATTTATGTGTAGTGAAGATTGCTTGATAAGTTTAATGGTATATGAGTGTATGTAATTTGCGAGAGAGAGAGGGTGATATTCATGGAGGACTAAGCGTTAAAAATATTCCGTGTATATATAAGTAGACACAAATGTGCGTGCACACACATACACACACAAACACACACACACACACACACACACACACACACACACACACACACACACACACACACACACACACACACACACACACACACTCACACTCACACACATACACGCACACACACATACATATTCAATTATCTGAACAAATATACCATAGAATGGTATAAAGATGTAATTAGTGACCGCTTCAACAACACCAAAAATCATGACGTTTCGAGTCAGACTAAAACTCTTCATCGGGCGAAACGAACGAAATTCATATTCATTACTAGCAGCCTCATTTTTTTTTTTTTTTTTTTTTTTTTTTTTTTTTTTTTTTTTTTTTTTTTTTTTATCATCCCATCCTTACTGTAAGTGTACTGTAACATACAGACTCTCAGACAATCCAGCAGTACCTTACCAGATGAGGCAGACATGACGGAGTTGGGGACCGTCGTGCCGCAAAAGTGATCAATCTCCTGCTTGCGACTCCCGTTAAGCACGTTGTAGACAGCCACCCAGTCCGTGTGAAGACATCTGGCAGAAGGGGAGACTGTTCTGAAAATATTACCCTTTGGTTTTGTGTATATTTATGTGTTCTTGCAGTGTGTGTGTGTGTGTGTGTGTGTGTGTGTGTGTGTGTGTGTGTGTGTGTGTGTGTGTGTGTGTGCGTGGGTGTGTGTGTGTGCCTGTGCGTGTGTGTCTGTGTGTCTGTGTCTTTACCCGTATCTTGAAGAGCGTGGGTGCGCACACGGCCCGGATTTTGAAAAAAAAAAAAAAAATCCAAACCAACAATCTAAAACACATCCCAATAAAAAAAAACACTCAAAATAAACAACTTCCACAACCATTTCACAACCCTCCTCCCCGCCCTCCCCCCTCCCCCACCCACGCCTCCCCCCGCCCATGCCCACGCCCACTCTCCGCCCACTCCCCCCCATCCCCCCATCCTCCCCCCCACCTCTCGTGCGGCCGCAGGTGCTGAGGCGGTTCCTTTAGGTTAAACTCGGTGAAGAGGATCCTGACCCTCTGGTGAGAGGCGCCGACGAAGGTGAAGGAGCAGCTGGCTTGGGGGTCGTAGCGCGAGGGGAAGCCAGGGGAGGTGACGACGCCCTCGCTCTCGTACACGCTGGAGATCGTGTCGTTGCAGCGCCCTTTGGGACACGAGGCAGCGGAGGGCGTTATGGTCATTATCATTAGTATTTCACTACTATTATTGTTATTATTGTTATTATCATTATTATCATTATTATTTTATTGTTATTATTATTATTGCTATTATTATTATTATTATTATTATTATTACTCAACGAAGCATTATTTTTATTCATGATACAACAAAATGCAGGAATGAGTTTTGTGATGCATTAAAAGTATAACCAAGAATGCAGAATGTATGTGTAAGTACTTATATATATATATATATATATATATATATATATATATATATATATATATATATATATATATATGCATATATATACACATGCATATTTATGAATTGTGTAGAATGTGTGAGTGCGCGCGCGTGCGTGTGTGTTTGTGTGTATTTGTTTGGTTCTGTGTGTGTGTGTGCGCGTGCGTGTGTTTGTTTCTTTGTTTGTGCGTGTGTGTATGTGCGTGTTTGTGCCTGTGACTAATCAACTTGAGCTGTACTATGGAAATCGCAACAGGCAACCTACGCGACACAGAGTGCGTGAGGCTGCCTCCCCCGGGCGTCGCTGCAGCTGCCAGGAGGAGGAGGAGGAAGAGGCCCAACAGACTCCACATCCTGTCTCGCCTGTACTCCTTGTTACGGCGACTCAGGAGGCCTTCGCTTTCCCGTCGACGTCGATACGCCCGGACGAGGGACTGGGACTTTTGGGTCGGTTGGTCAACACAATCGGACGAGTCTTTAATTGATTTATGTTACCTCGGTTTTCTTTATTTTTTTGAGTGTGTCTTTTCCTTATCGTATCTATTGGGGAAAGTGTGAAAATTCCTTTCGTTTTTTTCTGATTTTTTTGGGGGGAGGGGTCTTTTTTTAGTTATTGACAAGAAAAACTGTCAGACTGCAGACTGATTTAAATGTGTCCCCCGTCGGCTCTCGCTTATTAAAGCTGCATGGCATTAGTTCCTGGCGCTGTGATCAGACCTGGGTTTCCCACGGCCCCAGAGGTTTCCAAAGCAGGCGCACATTTATATTATACGGCACACGATCCTCCCTTACGGATGACAGCACAAGATGCCAAAAATGCCAACACGCTCTATGATCTACCAGAACCACCGCGTCCACCAAATCTCTTCCTGAATAGAACACTTAGATAAACAAAGGGGAGT